GGGGGAGGGAGGGCAAGCGCGAAATAAACGTTAATTAAGCAATACCAAGCTGGATTGAAACAGCTCAACCACGTTGGAATAAGTGAGAAAAGTCGGAAAAGACTAGGTAACTGGAACACATGAACAGCGGAATTTGTGGGATTGCGGTAATCTGGTAAAAAAAATCCATAACCGTGGAAAAAATAAGCAGAGATTACCAGAAACAGGGAGGCCAAATTCTTATGCTTACATAGGTGTGCGCAACACGTCATATTTCTAATTCCAAATTCAGGCTCAAGACATCCCCAATGACGGAAAAAGGTGAATAAGAATCACAGGAGGAGGAGGGGCAATCACCATATAAAGCGGTACGACTACCAAACAGAGCTGACTTTAGATCGACAATCTGCTTTTAGGTTCAAAAACTATCCAGAGTCCGCTAAGTTTTGGTCAGAGGCTAGAAAAGTAACAAAGTACTACTGTTTTGGGTTACACGTATTCGGGTTGAAAAGGTTCAACTGAGAAAAAAATAGCTAGAAGCTAGCAAGGGGAAAAAGTTGGAATTTTTAGAGCTAAGGTGGGCGAGCTAAGTTCGAAAATCTACACAGTTGTTCAGAAAAGTTCGTCATGAACGGGAAAAACGGAGCGAACATAACAAGAATTAATTTCACGACCACCTACAACTGCGATCCAGATGAAAGAAATCGTCAAGTTCGATTATTGTAAAAATTATTGCGATCTACAAGAGAAGCACAGTCGGAATGATAAACTATTGTTGGGAGATAAACACATGTAATCATTGGAGTGTGTTATGAAAGTACCTTCATCCCAATGTTGATCCAGCTATTTCTAACATTCCTAACGTTTCAAAAGAGAGAAACTATTCACCGCACGGTAACCAAGCGTGATTGACGAATTAGCATGAAAAGAAATGAAACAACAAATAAAATTGGTCTCGACAACAGTGCGTGTAGGTCCACTCACTTTTGAGTGAGAGTTAAACGGAGGAAGTTGGAAACATAACGGCATCTAGCTTCCATAGACCCAACCCAACCCTTTATGCGGACATCGTTCACAATGAAGCGTTCGCGTTGCAGTCCTTGCGCTGGAGCATGTTATTCCAGAGGCTCCTGGTTGTTGCGTTTCACGATAGGCTACTTATCCATCAGCGGGCATGTTCAAGCCCGTAGACTAAATGAGGAATTTACATGAAAAAAGTTAAGAGCAACCAACAACACCCATAAATGGACTCAGAAGTTACTCTGGAATAACGTGCTCCAGCGCAAGGGCTGCAACGCAAACGCTTCATTGTGAGCAATGTCTGGATCACGGGAGCATGCTCTACCCGAGTGTGTTCATATACCATTTCATCAAACTGACTGTGCCTTCGTCTGGATGGCATTTCTTGGTCGTTACGAGATTCCTTCGTGCATGATTCGCTCCGTTTTTCCCACTTATGAGGGAGCTCCCTCGAGCAGCCGTGCAGATCTTCGATCCTAGCTCCGCCCACTTGAGTGCTCATCCTTGAATACTCCATTTAAAACATTTGCGACACCTCTTGTTTAGTTTGAAACATTTCCCTGTTAGCGCCCGCCATTCTATTTTTCTATATGATCCTAAACGACTCAATCTGCTACTGTTAAAGCACATCACCGGCGATTTCAGTACGTACGCCTAACCTCCCGCACTGGTATTATTAGGGTGAGACTTTTGCGGTCTTACATGTGGAGTTGATTCTGTTGTGCAAGTCGCTGATCCGCCTCAGGGCGTTGTGTTCTGAGGAGGCAGGATGAACATGCAGTCACCGTAATTCGATGCGCTGTAGAAAGGACTATCAAGTGGGATGGGCACGCTACGCGATTTTGTGATGACGGTTAGACCGGGGCGATGGAAGTGAATGAACGAAAAGGATGCTTCGCTTCTGTCCCTCGGGCGAAGATGATTTACTGACAACTAGTTACTGTCGCTCTGTCGAGGAAATCGATGATTAGCGGGATGGCAGGTGATTAAGGTGACAGAGAGCAGATCGATACCCATCTGTATCGATTGGTTGGTACCATCCGATATTCTTGCTGTGCCACATCCGTCAGACCGGCCTGTACTTTACCGATCAATTGCTCAAAGCATAGAGAAATGTCGAAAACTGTGGGTCGCTATCGATCGATACCACAGCACAGTACTGACTATGCATTAAATTTGCAATATTTCCTCAGAGGATAAACGTCCAACGTCTTAAGGAAGAGATACTGTGTTAAACGATCATACGAGGGTTGCCTTTTATTATTTCGGGATTTGGAAACACTAGTGTAGCAATATAGCAACTGACACCACTATCGTAAAGTTTGACTATTTTGAGGTTCCGTTGCGAAATTTGAGCGCGATTTGTATTGTTCACACGAAGTTATAAGATTTTGTTTAGGCCAAGTTATGGAGTTGAACCGTGAGCATTTCCGCGCGATTATTTTCTGCAACTTTCGACGTGGACTAACTCAACAGCAATGCATGGATGAACTTAGTTCAGTTTTTGGTGATGAAGCTTCATCCAGAACCAGTGTTTATCGATCGTCCACTGACTTCATCCGAGGTCGTAGTTCACTCGAAGACGAATTTCGTGGAGGTCGTCTAAAATCAGTTGTCGTTCCGGAAACGGTTGATGCTGTGCACAAACTAATAGGCATCTTTCATAGTCCACGATCGGTCGCGCGAGCGGTCGCACGACTGGTCGCGGACCCATCTCACGGGCGACCGGCGACCGATCGCGCGACCGAACGCGCGACTGGTCGCTCGATCGGTCGAG